CGGGCAACCCACAGTACGAAACATTTTGGCTTTAAGATTAGCTTATAATAAAAGACATTGGGACACCAATCAATTTGTATGCAATGTATTGAATTTAAATAAACAATCATATATGTTATAGCAAATACCGTCAAATAGTTGTCCCATGTCTCTGGTGAGGCTACAACTATTTGCTTCTCTTCGTCCCAACCAAATATGGTTTGCCCATATCTTAGCTTTGTAAACTCTTTATATCTACTCTTTAAATCTTGTATCTTGTTACTAAACAATTTCGTATTGAATTTCGGGCCAAATTTTGTGAAAAAACTCTGTCTCACCTCTTTCTAAGCAACTGGTTTCAAACAACCAGCTACCATTCCCCCACTCTTGACTTGTTGTGCAAGTAAATCTATGAAAAAAGTTTCTTGTATAGGTGTCCAGTTTGCATTTGTGACGAGGGTATTATCAAAAGATGTGTTAAATACACTAGTTGCCATCTAATCATCATGAAACTTTGGGTTAGTGACACAATGTTGTTGAAAAATTATAGAATAATCATATTTTTTTCCAATCAACTAAAAAAACAGAGAAAGGTTTGATGGTTGTATAAGTCACCTAAAGTAGCTATTCCCTTTGAATGTTCGTAAGTGGATAGTATCCTGCAATCAAGAACAAGGGTATGATAGCTTTAGCAAATTGCCGGTACAACCCACATCAACCAATATGTACAACCAATGCATCGAATAACAAAGCAAAGAAGCTTGTGTGAATGTTTTCTTCCAAGTAATAACAAAGCAGTAAGCTTTGCACCATCTTAAGAGCAACTTTGGTTCTTTTGATATGCCTCAAGTTGATTCCCATCACTTGTGCTTTCTTAAAAACTATTTGTTTATACAACCATAGTGTACCAAAAATCCATTTTGTTAGATGTAAAGCATCTAAAAACACAAACAATATCATATTCAAATATAAGTTATTTTCTAAATTTAATGAGGGAAAATTCAGAAACAAAACCTATAGCACTGACAATCAAAAGGAATGAAAAGCAACCATTGATGATCCAGGTTAGCATAAAATGGGGCTAACCCAAATTGAACCTATCATAATTAACCTCCTTTGTTCTTATAAAGGTGTGTAATGCTATTGATCTTGAAGGTCCAGCATTACCAAGAGAAAGTTCCCTCATATCATGAAATCTGTTAAAGTATGAATTTTCCATGCTACCATCTAGCATTAACAATAATTTCTAAAAAGTTATAACAAGAGGGTAGGATGTAGGTGGAATATCAATGAAATAATCAAGGATATCATTGAACTCAGCTGTGCCATCAATATCAAACATATTAGCTAAACCATAAGGATAGTTTAAGAAACTTACCTTTTTTTTTTATACAAATTCTTCCAACTCATCTAATTTATTTTCCTTCTGCTTTCCTGCTCCCCAAAGAAGTTTCCTCTAAATTCTAACCAATTGATCTCAAAGCCATTTAAAAAATAAAAAGCATGACATTGCAAATGTGGAAATGGCAATGAACACTGCCTTAATCATAACTTCCTTTCTTCCAGTAGACAAAATAGCCTCCTTCCAACCTATTTCAACTCTCTCATAGAGATTTTTATTTTTATTTTTTTTTGAGGAACTTTCATAGAGGTATTTTCTTGGCCCTTAGATCATCTGAACAATACATCCACATACCCAACAACCTCGATCCTCCTAGTCACGAATACTCTAGTTACATAGTAGTTAGATGGATAGACAATTTCTATGTAATTGTTTTCTTGTTGGACTATGAACTAGATCAATGATTTTTGCTTATATTTATGGTTTTGATGATTATTTGAATCTTCCAAATAAGGTGATTTCTTTTAATTGCCTTGTATGTCGAATTATATGTATATTGTAGAAAAACAAAAGTATTGATCCATGTGTGCTGGGGCAACGAGATTTCTAGTACTGAAGTATACTGTAAACTGCACATACCTAATTGCATAATATTTAGAAGGAAATTACGTGTGGAGTTGATTTTTTGTAGTTACAGGGAAAGCTTCTATAGTTCTATTAGCTATCTGCTACTACCCCATATTATTAATTATTTGTTGTGCCTTATCATCAGAAATTTGATAAACGCAAGGTGAGCACAACCAATTGGTATGAAATTTTGGTAAACAGAAAAGAGCTCCATGTTTCATCAATTCAAACAATTGGGATACCAATTGCAGCCTCAGAGAAAGACTGTTGTTATCCCATCCAACCCATGTACACAAAATTGCATTCATCCAGATTAGGGGATCAAATCACCATTGTAAAGATTTAAATTGAATTAGGTTGTTAACTATATTCATGACTAAAGAAAATTATTTACGGATCTCTTGATAAAAGTAAAAGATTATTTATAGGCCTTTACACCCATAACTTGGGATTTTCACCACTTTTATTTGAAAAGTTTCTTTTGATTAAATTTGTTCCAAGCCTATCTCCAATCATCAATTATATAAGCTTGTTTGACACTCAACTTCAAGCTCTCTTTTGTTGCAGGACCATGAATAGTTGCCTTGTTCTTTTTACACCGATAATATACAATTACTGAAAATTAAATGGATTTCTCTTAGTTGGATTTTTCCCTATATAGTGATTGTACTAAGCCTATCTCCAAGCTACAATAGTACAAGTTATTTGACATTCAATTTCAATTTTCAACCTCCACCTTATTGCAGTGCCATAAATATTTGTTATATAGCAAATGTAATATTATGGATAATTTTCAGTATAAATTTAAAGTTTAACTAATTAAAATTATCACCCCAGAAGTAGCAAACAAAAACAAGAACCTGTGTAACAATCATGCAGAAAGGTTTGGAACCTTTGTACTAGTGGACATGGGTTACACAGATTGAAAAATGAGAGCATAGTGCAAACCATGCCATTGTCCAATAGCCTATACAAACATACAACCCATAGCACCATACAAAAGATAGGCTAAAATCTCTGCATATCTAATGTATCTTTTTTCAGCATCACTTTGTTTAAGTAATGGTCCTCAGATGCTAAAGTTTGATTTTCTTGTGGCAGCTCCTCCATCAGTCAATGATGTTAAGGTTATTGGAGATGCTGTTGAAGGAAGTACAATCAAAGGTATTGGGAAATACTTTGGAGGAAGGGAAGGTCCTAGCAAGTTTGAGTGGTTATGTGAAAATAAAGATTCTGGGTATGATGCATTTCCATTTTTGAACATTTAACTATTTAGAAGTTTGAGATTACCTCATTTTACTTGGTGGTCCATTTCGTCCTAAGTTTTCATTCAACTTTTTTGTTTATATATTTCCTTTTTGTGAAATTTATAGGAGACATTCGTGAAACATCAAATTTCTCGCATAATTTCTTTTTGTAGTATTTCTAAGATTGTTTAAGAAGAAAAACACAAAAGAAAAAAAAAAAAAAGAATGAGGAAATCAGGTACACAACCGCAGAGGTCTCTTTGAGAGAAACAATAGAAAGATAGGTAAGGGAAAAAATAGTGGAAATCAGGTCTGCCCACAATTCTTATTACATGGGTATCTATAGCATTACAAGAGACTCACGTATTCTTAAACCTAACAATAATCGATGTTTCAAAAAAAACCCTAATAAGACATGCACAAACCTAACATTACAAGTTTAAAACCTAACAATTTTTAACTACATTCAAAAAAAAAGGTAGTGAACACATAGAAGTTTAAAGACAATCGTTGTTCCAAAAAAACCCTAACAGTACATATTGGGATGGGGGTTGTACCTGCGCAAACCACCACCAAATAACAAGCTACCACTGCTACAAGATTCATGAGCACCAAATGCTTTGTAATCTCCTACAAAAGAGGGGAAAAATTAGTGGAACCACAGAAGAGAGACGAAGAGGAGGATGGTGACGGTGGAAGAAGACGAAGATTGAAGGAGGAGGAAGAGGAGGATGAAGGGAATGGAGGAATTGAACCTGTGAGAAGTATGAGCGAAGCAGTCTCGAGTGTGCAAATGAGAGGGGTTTAGCATCGAGGGTTATTGTTCATTTGTGTATGCGTATGAGAAATCACACACGTATGGGGAAGCTCCGAGAGGGCATAAAAGCCCGGAAGCTACGATCCTAGCTTCCCGAAATCAGTTCAAATTGGGCTTCTCTGGGCTTTTCGGCACAATGTCTTTTGGCAGCGAGATTTGATGTAAACCAAACGGGAATAGACCGATTTTCGGTCTTATGGGCTTTTAAACAGACAAAAGACCGCACAGAAAGACTTGTCAAAATGACCTAGGTCAATTTTTCTGTCCATGAAGGGAGGTATTTGCATTTTTTTAAATACAGGGAGGTTTTTGTTAAAATGAAAACATAGGAGATGTTTTGATGATTGTTAGAAAACTCAAGGGAGGTTTTTATATTTTACCTAATTTTTTATTGAAGCTTTCTTTAGATAGATTTAGATGAAAAGATATGAATTAGAGATAATTTAGGAGATAAATAGAAATTCGAGATAGAGATAATTTAGGAGAAAATGGGGATAGTTAGTTTTCTAAGAAAATAGAAAGGAAAAAAAGGAGATAAAACTATGCTAAGGTGGCAACTCCATAAGCTTCGAAAGATAATTTTGAACCCCTCTACAAGATTTTGGATCTCCTACCCACAAAAACTCTACCTATGCTACCCGCAAAAACTCTACCTCCATGCATTGGGAACATCTCCCTATACATAATAATATGTAAGAAGATAAGATGTTCTCCATGTGTGACTGTGATCTTATGTGGGTAGAATTGTCATGGGTAGGAAACTCGGACTCTTTCTATAATTGCAGTGGGGTAATGAGAGGCCATCTGACGCGAAGGATTTACTTGCAATTGTTAAAAAGTTGAAAAAGGTGATTATAATTATTAAGAAAGCTACCTAATTTTTTAAGATTTCATTTGGTTCCCTGTCCAGATTCGAAAACGTCAGAAATCGGGATTCGGCGATATAAGTAAAACCGCGGGCGAAATGTTAATGCTTCATGCTTATCCACTTGGAACCTTTTTGGAAGCTACTAGAAGGGGCTTAAGCAGGTGGTGGACTGGTGGTTTCTCATTCCCTCTTTTTTACTTCCATTTTGTAGTCTGTAGAAACGAAAGTGAACGCAGAAGACAACGTTAGCGCGAAAAATCCTAATCGAATATTCGAAGACGCCATGGACGCCGCGAAGGTCAAGCAGTTGAAGCTCTTCATCGAACAATGCAAGTCCAATCCCTCTATTCTAAGCGATCCTTCTATTTCCTTCTTCAAAGATTACCTCGAGAGGTGAGAATTGATCCATCTATCAATTGGAGATGGTTAAATGGAGAAAAATATTTAGTACTTCTATTTCTGTATCTGACTTTTATTTCAGTCTCGGCGCTAAACTTCCTTCGTCAGCTTATAAACATGGCGAGTCACCTCGTACTGGCGACTCGGTACATTCTTTTTCTCTCTATAGCGTTTTCTGTATTGGGGTTTGAGTGTCTGCAGTAGTACAAGTTTGAACTCTGTCTTATAATCTCTTCCCCCCTCCGTTTTTTTTTTTTTTCATATAATTCGTCGAATTTCTTGTAACTATTCATTTGATAATCGAGCCACAGAAATCTAGGATGGTGGACGAGAGTGACGAGGAGATGGAAGACTTGGGAGACAAGACCTCTCAACCACAAGGATCAACTGCAGCACACGATGATGGATACGAGAGTGAACTAGTCGAATCGGATGTCGAGCTTGAAGGAGAGACTGTAGAACCTGACAATGATCCTCCGCAGAAGGTGAATCCCAAATAAATCGACATTTTGAACATGTGTTTGTGTAACCGCCTAGTTCTTCACCGTTGATTTTTTTTCCTATATAGATGGGAGACCCATCTATTGAGGTCTCGGAAGAGAACCGTGATGCTTCTCAAGCAGCTAAGGCACAAGCAATGGAAGCAATTTCAGAGGGTATGTTTTTACTTAAAACATTTTATGAACTTCTTTGCGAAATCTTATTTTATTTTATTTTATTTTTGGTTAATCAGGTAAGCTGGAGGAAGCAATTGAGCATCTCACGGAGGCAATTTTACTAAACCCAACATCTGCCATAATGTATGCGACCAGAGGTAAGACTGGTTTTGGGCTTTTATTGTACCGTTAATTATTACTTTTATTTGGTGTACGTGAATTAATTTACTTTGATTTCCCCTGCTTATTTGTTGTTTGTGCAGCTAGTGTGTATATTAAAATGAAGAAGCCTAATGCTGCAATTCGAGATGCCAATGCAGCTTTAGAGGTAATTATGTTGTCCTTAATTTGATTGTCTCAATCTGATCATAAAGCTTGGCACTTGCAATTTGCATGCATGATTGGAAATGCACAGATGTAAAATGTTGGCGTTAGAGTGATGTTTCTCATGGATCTAATGTAACTAGTATGTGTATGAACATAGACCAATGTGCAGGCATGTTTTCATACCATCCATGCAAGTACTTATCCCTATTACAGATTACAATTTTTGATGCTTGTGTTTTTTATAGTAATATAGTTTGTAATTGTCCTTTCAGATCAATCCTGATTCTGCTAAAGGGTACAAGTCTCGTGGCATTGCCCGGTCAATGCTTGGCCAGTGGGAGGATGCTGCCAAGGATCTTCACCTAGCATCAAAATTAGATTACGATGAGGAGATTAATGCGGTTCTTAAGAAGGTCGTGTTTCTTTTTCCATTGTTGCTTGCTTTTTGTTCATCTATAAGAATGTGTTTGAACCTAAAATTTACTTGATTTGATTACAGGTTGAACCCAATGCACACAAGATTGAAGAACACCACAGGAAGTATGAGCGTTTGCGCAAAGAGAGAGAAGAGAAGAAGATTGAGCGTGAGAGACAACGCTGTAAGGCTGAATCTCAGGTAATTGCTGTTATATTCATCTATTGAAGAAGTCTATTGTTTGTTGGCATTTCATTTGATAATTTTGTGAAACTCTACTGTAGGCTGCATATGAGAAGGCCAAACAGCAGGAACAGTCATCTTCAAGTAGAAAGCCTGGAGGCATGCCAGGCGGGTTCCCTGGAGGTTTCCCTGGGGGTATGCCAGGGGGTTTTCCAGGTGGAATGCCCGGAGGTTTCCCAGGAAGTACTCCAGGTGGGATGCCTGGAAATATTGATATGAGCAAAATCTTAAATGTAAGTGTCTTGTTCTGATGAGTTATACTGATTCCTCAAGCTTGGGTATGCTTTTGGTTATTGGTATTGTGATGCCCTGCCACTTGCTCTGGTTTTAGTATTATGGTCCCTAGCATGTTCCTTAGCTTTGCTGGTAAAGAAATCTTTGCAGTAGTAAACCAATAACATATGTTCTTTGATTTTGTTTATGCTTGTTTTTGGTTTGTTATGGCACTGCCAGCCTTCCATCATTATGAATCTTTGCGTGAGAGTTCTGTATTTATGTCTTCTGCTGCTGCTGCTTATTAATAGATTCTTCGATGCTTTTCAAATTATAAAAGGTGTACATGTTAAAAGCCTCATTAAATTTATCAAGGTATAAAAGGTGTGCATGTTGGCATTTGGATGTTGTTTTGTATTCTGTCTTGGATATTATTACACAGTGTTGCATTCTGATGTCATATGCTGGTGTTTCCATTTCCTCTTTGTATCTGGGAGTCTTGTATGCACTTGGTTGGGATTTTATTGATGATTTTTTTTCTTTTTATTTTCTTTTTGAAGCAGGATCCAGAATTGATGGCAGCATTTAAGGATCCAGAAGTCATGGCTGCTCTTCAAGATGGTATTCTTCTTTTTCCCCCAGTTTTTTCTTTCTTTCTTTTTTTTTTCCTTTTTGACTTCTCCTACTCATTCCTCATCTTGTTCTTTTCTGATTTAGATTTTTAAGTGGTTATTATATCCCTTATTATTAATAAATGGAAGAATTATATTAAAGGATGGATATTTACTCAAAATATAAAGTGTGCAAAGAAAAGAAAGAGGTACAAACCTCTATATAACAAAAAAGGAGTTAAAAATTAATTTTTCTTAATGATCTAGAAAATAAACAGTCTTAAAATTCCCAAAGTCCTCTGAAACTCCAAGTGGTTATTTATTTTCAAAATTATGCTACTTTCCTTGAGGGATTTGTGATCTTCTTGTTCACACTATGCCATTTTTGCAAAGGGTCTTAAGCTTTTTTTTTTTTTTTTTTTCTGTGAGAAAAAGGTAAAGTAGTGTAGGGTTGGAAAACACAAAACAGTTATTGGAGACCTGAACCTTTCAGAAAAGAACGGTTTGCACCCGGAATTGACAACAATGTTCATATTTGATTTTTCTGTAAGATCATTGAATGTTTGCTATCATTCATCAAAAAGAATATAAGAAATATATTTTACTTGTTTCTTATGTTAAGACTTGAGTGTTTCATGATTGGATAAATATCTTGGTTAGTGGAATTTCAAAGATTGGATGATGATCTGGAACTCTGTATTGCATATACATTATATTTGCATGTACCATATAGATTTTCGTAAATGCTTCTCTTTTTTCGGTGATTATAGATTTTCGTAAATGATCTTCTCTTTTTCTGGGCAAATATGTATTTTTTAATTGAATTGTGATTTTATTAATTAAGAAATGAGAGCTATTACAGGCATCCCAAGGAGAGGCATGAAGTACAACCTCTTCTTGAAAGAAAATTACGGAAAAAAGTTGTGAAAAGATTACAAAGCAGCTCAGTATAAACTTTCCCTATTAACCCCTTGTTTGGAAAGACAATTAGCCAAAGCATTTTCTGACCTTCATACCGAGTGTAGGCTAATATTCATGTTTCTAGTTAGCCACTTAGCATTCTTTAGAAAGTCCCCGTAGCACCAAACCACTGAGTCTGAATCTACCTGCCACCCTACAGCAATTTTAGAATCTCTTTCAAGTATTAGATTTTCCACACCAAGTTGATGTGCAATTTGAATACCTTGTAGGGCCGCTAACAATTCAGCCATATTAGAGTGTCTCCCAAACCCACTGGGCCAGAGAATAGAGCTAAGGTGTTACAGTCATTATCTCTCAAGACCCCTCCTATTCTAGAGGGTCCTAGGTTGCCTTGACTGTTTCCATCAAAGCCCATCTTTACACTTCCTTTAGGAGGATAACCCAATCTACAAATACTCTTTCTTGGAAGAGAAAGATGCTATAGCTGACCAGCTCCTCCAAAGGTCATCAAAGGAAAAGGATTCGAAGGAGTCCATAGCTCTCAACCAAAGTATTGTTCTTGTCAAAATGCAATCCTTGACATTTAGGAGGTTCTTTGTTTTTCTTGAAAAATTCTTGTATTCCTCTCTTCTCAAATTGTCCATAGAGTAGGTGCTCTAATGCATTTCCACATGCTCCACCCCCTTTTAGTGGGCCACACAAAGAAAAAAGGTTCAAACAGTAGACACATATTTTGGTGAGATACCGCTCACCTCGGAACCCCCTTCGAGGGTGGCTTAACCTCCTGAAACAGAAAATGGGGAGGAAGAAGAGAAGGGAAGGTAGGAAGAGAGGGATGCAGTGAAAGAGAAAA